TGTGAAACGCGGATGCGGACTCGCAGGCCCTGGAGGCCCCACTGTGCGCCTCCCGGGAGGTCGGATGAACTGGTGGTTGGGCCTCAGAGGCCTATTTTTGTTTTCACAAGACTGCCAGGGACATTCATCCACATTTGAGAACTCCGTGAGGTCGGAGGCTGCGATCGTCGTCTTGAGGCCCGCCGGGTGAGAAGTGGCCGGCTGCTGCCGTGCTGGGGGCAGGATCAAAGCCGCGGCCCGGCCAGGGTCCCTGTCGCCCTCTGAGCCCTCCCCAGCCTCTGCCTCGAGCAGGAGGACACAGGCTCCCCTGCCTCCGTCTCCGGCCCTCCTTTTCTCAAAGGCTGTTTCTTGCCATAGTGGAATGATCTTGTTCCGTGGGTTTTCTCATTTTATAAGCTTGTTCGAGGTTTGGCTTAAAATGTATATTTTCAATAAGTTTTAGAAATATTTTATGAATAAAGAAATAATGCATATTTAAAAAATCTGTATGTGAGAGGCGATGAAGAAAAAGAGGGTCATATAATGCCATTGCCAAAGACACCACTAGTGACATTTCGATGCGTTTCCTTCTGGTCTTCCTTATACACATTCAGATGTTATAATCTTACTTGATCCTCCTCTTTATTCTGGTTTTGTCACCAGACATTGTTTTAGTCATTTCTTCATATTAAACTCTTAATACCCATTTTAATCATGTTCATCAAAGACATGTAAATTACTAAAAAATGATATAACATTTTCATCTATCAAATAAGCAAATATATATATTTTAATTTTCAATGAGAACACCAGATGCTGCTGAAGATTTAGAAAACGGGTGCTCTCACACGTGACCTACGGGAGTGTGCAATCTGACAATACTTAAAGACCCCGAGCAAGATTCCACCTTTGCCCCAGTAATTCCACTGTGTACAATGAGGTCCTACTAAGTAAGCGACAACCTACACGCAGAGATGAAAATAACAGCACCTTTCTTTTGGGTGACTGTGAATGTTAAGTCGCTCATTTAGAGTCTACCTATAAGTGTTTAGCTATTTGCACAGCAAAAAAATAAAAATATATTTTAGTACCAAAAAGACACTTAGAGAACAACCAATAGATCCAGTGGTTGGAAGCGACACAGCCACGTAATTTCATTGTGTGCAGCCATTAAAAATGGTTTGTCTAAAGGGTTTAATATTTTTTCACCTACTGTGGTGCCTGTTTAGAAAAAAAACTGCTGCTGCCCCAGTTGGAGATGAAAAACCCACGTGCTCCTGGCTGGGTGGGCGGGCTGGGCTTTCCCGCCCAGCCTCACACATGGAATTCAGCCTTGTCAGTCACTCAGGAGACACTCCTGTGCAGCGGAATGTATGACCTCAGCCCTGCCACTGTCTCACCTGTGCCTACCTGTACCTCAGTGGGGAGTCTGTGATTATAAACATTCTTTTTCCTTAATTCGCTGAATTTGTCCACCAATGCTACTTAGGTGCATGAACTGTAAACTATCTTGTCCCACAAATATGTTGACAAATTTTCCCCAAACATCTGCAAGGACCCATCTTTTTAAAAGTCACTTTTCACCTCTGTCATCCTCACGGGTCCTCACATCCAACTTGTCGTTCCTGACACTTTCTGAGATAAAGCTGGACATGTTAGGGTGCGAGTTAAGGATGCCCAGGCAGAACTGTGCAGCAAAGTGAAAAGCTTCCTAGGAAAACCAGATTCTCGGTGATTCTAAGTCCCCAGCCATTTTGGCCCATGACTTCTCTGGACACTGTCTCCCAAACATGTCCTGGTGGAAAATGCCAGTTGATGTCCTTACACCAGTTGGTGATGCAATCCAGTGCCTGGGTAGCACTTGCCAGACGGTGGGGCTCACACTTCTAGAATGAATAGCAAAGCTTAATTTTCTGTGTCCCGTGTCCCCCACGCACCCCACCGCAGGAGGCCAGTCCTCAGCAGGGCCACACCCACCGCCTCGTCGAAGCCCATGTAGAGGAACTGCTGGTACCACTGCTGCACGTCGGGCCGGCTCCGGTCCCACAGCTGCCGCTTCTGGCGCTTCGGGCCACTCAGGAACTCTTTAGCTTTGTTCTCATCAACGGCCACTTTAGTCTCAGGGGGAGCAGGAGCTGAAATGATCAATTCCCACCCCCAAAGTGCAGAGAATGATTTCTTTTCCGGTTGGGATGAAACACCACGAGATCCCCCACCCCTGCCATGTAGAGGACAGATGGGACTCTCCACTCCACTGTCACCTGCGAGGGATAAAACGCAGCCTCAAGTCACCGCTTCCCACAGTCCTTGTTCCTGAACTCTCCTACTCGGGTACCGCCATGTAAAGGGACTAACCTTCAACTTCTAGGTCCTCAGGGTAGGAACGGAATTCAGCTCACCCCCTGCAGCCACTCAGCAGGCCCGGAGCCCTGGCCTCACCGGGGGCGGGGGGCTCACCCCTTGGGCTCTGCATTTGGGAAGCGACATGCACGCGGTGTGGGTTCCCTGTGCCTGCAAACCTGAGTGGGTCACGACTGCTCAGGAGACTCCGTAAGGAAACAGAACTGGCATGATGAGCCCCGAGGGAGCCGGCAGCAGGGACCAAACCCTGCCCAGCGGTCGGACAGCCAGGTTCTCACATGGGGCCGAGGAACACACGGCACTACCCTGAGCCCTGTCTTCGGGCCTCATGGTCTGATCACTGGCGACTGAGTCCTGAGGGGTGCTGACCTGGGCTTTAGCCCTACTTCCTCTAACATCTTTCCATCAGAGTCTCAGGAAAGCAGCTGTGCCACGGGGCTTGCCCTGCTGCCTAGCTTTGAGCCTCTGTCCCCTCATCTATGAAACCAGGCTGACAGCCCCGGTATCTCGGTGTCGCTGTGAAGAATGCATAGGATAATGGAAGCAGAGTGCCTGGTGTGTTCAATGGTCACATGCACAAACATCAGCAGGTTGGGTTTTTTTCACAAACCCTTCAAGGGCCCGTTACACTGCTTTGTATACAGTAACTGCTCAATACGTGTTTCTTGGCTCAATCTGAGTAAAGGCTGAGGGATGCACACCTAGCGGTGTGCTCACCTGTGACAGGCTGGCCCTGCGAGAGCCTCGCTCACCCCCTGGGCAGATGCTTGCTTCCCGCAGCACAGGGCGGGGCCCTCCCAGCCTCCTCAGAGATGGAAGCGAGACCAGGGCCTCGTGTGTGGCTGGAAATGCTGGGAAAGACGCTGTGAGCTCCCGCAGGAACTCCCTGCCCTTGAGCCTTAGGGGCCGCTTGTGCCCAGGCACCTGTTGGGGGGATCCCTGAGGGGCAACTGGAAATAGGAGAGTAAGTGCTCGGGGGCCCTGCCTCAGGGAGTAGAATTGGTCACATCAGAAATGCGGCCACGTGTTTTCATTTCTGAGGGGTGCTTAATTTTACAGATGAAGACGGAAGCCCGGAGATGGAAAAGGACATTTGAGAGACAACACAATTGAACCAGTTGATGTAACTGGTCGTAGCGGGTCCAGAACTTGGGACTCCCAGACTGTTCTATTTCCGTGAAATTTTGCTACTGTCCACCACGTTTATCTTAGGAGCACTTTCCACAACCGTGGTTAGTAACCAAGGTTCTCCTGCTCAAACCCCCTTCCCAATAGCTAACCGAGATAGAGGTGCCCCAGCAGTGCCGCTTCATGCCCACCCTGCTTCAAGGCTTTCTGTGCTCCCAAGGAACGCTCTAAATTTAGACATGTGCTCTAAGTGCTTCACGGTTCTAAAATAAACAGCATGCAGTTAGCACTGTAGCACTGTTTCTTTTATTTTTGAGGCCACACTGACAGCTTTCAGAAAACAGCCTTCAAACACTTACCAGCAATAATATTTATCTCATAAAATACCGTACCACATACCCAGAGAATAAGCCCTTCAGATCTGCTAACCTTTTAAGGAGTAAACAATTTTGAATTCCTGAACACAAGACTGCAGCAAGCACATTCAATGTTGCCATTTCATTTCATTTCATCCAGTTAAGAATGCATCCCTTATCCACTGCGGACACTTACCTTCTCGTTTTTGAAGCATCAGCTTGAGCTTATTTCCACTTATGCCACCTGAAGGAATGAAAATAGAAATCAGTTTCAGAGTTGTGCTGTACACTCTAATTTATCAAATGCAAAAATCAAAGCTAGCAGGGCCGAGCCTGTGGTGCACTCGGGAGAGTGCAGCGCTGGGAGCGCAGCAGCACTCCCGCCGCGGGTTCGGATCCTATATAGGGATGACCGGTGCGCTCACTGGCTGAGTGCGGTGCGGCCGGTCTCAAAAAGGACAAAAAAAAAAAAAAATCAAAGCTAGCAAAATGAGCTGCAACTCCCACATTGATTTACAACTTGGTGGTGGTACAGTATTTAATGCTTGTGTTCCCTTAATGCAGGAAAAACAATTCAGGCTGCGTGTGGCTAATACAGGTGACAATGACCGTGGCTGGCCAAGGGAATTCAGTTTGAACTACTCACTAGGAAGAGTGAAAAGTTCTTTTATCCCTTATGTTGTATATGAGAGCCAGCCATCTGCCATGTGTACCTCCTTGCAGACTTTCCCTCCATGGTGTAATGAGTCAAATAGCATCCCCCTAACATCATACCCATCTGGAACCTCCAAATGTGAGCATATTTGCAAATAGAGTCTTTGCAGATGTAACGTGTTAAGGATCTCGAGATGATCTCATACTAGATATAGGGCAGGCTCTAAATCCAGTGACTGGTGTCCTCATAAGAAGAGCAGACACAGAGAAGGTATGCTGCGACAAGCCAAGGAACCTGCCTCAGCTCTCTAAAGATTCAGCCCAGAGGGCCGGCCCGTGACTCACTTGGGAGAGTGCGCTGCTGATAACTCCAAGGCCACGGGTTTGGATCCCTATATAGGGATGGCCGGTTAGCACTTGGGAGAGCGTGGTGCTGACAACACCAAGTCACGGGTTAAGATCCCCTTACCGGTCATCTTTTTAATATATATATATATATATATATATATTCAGCCCAGATTTGTAGCTTGCCCTGATCATCCTATAATCAAGCATTCTTTGTACAATTTGACATTCTCCCTACTCAGTTTTAAAAGTTTCTAATCCGCCCAATCATTTTAATAGTAAATAACATGTCTGGCCTGATAGAACATACCCCACCACCACCTCCACCCAGTGATCTGGTTTGAGGACCTATAGAAGCCTCTGACATTAACTTGCATACAGGAATAAGGCTTGTCTCATACAGAGTGAATCCAAAGCCCCTGGGGAAAATTTTGCAAATAGAGTCTTTGCAGATGTAACGTGTTAAGGATCTCGAGATGATCTCATACTAGATATAGGGCAGGCTCTAAATCCAGTGACTGGTGTCCTCATAAGAAGAGCAGACACAGAGAAGGTATGCTGCGACAAGCCAAGGAACCTGCCTCAGCTCTCTAAAGATTCAGCCCAGAGGGCCGGCCCGTGACTCACTTGGGAGAGTGCGCTGCTGATAACTCCAAGGCCACGGGTTTGGATCCCTATATAGGGATGGCCGGTTAGCACTTGGGAGAGCGTGGTGCTGACAACACCAAGTCACGGGTTAAGATCCCCTTACCGGTCATCTTTTTAATATATATATATATATATATATATATTCAGCCCAGATTTGTAGCTTGCCCTGATCATCCTATAATCAAGCATTCTTTGTACAATTTGACATTCTCCCTACTCAGTTTTAAAAGTTTCTAATCCGCCCAATCATTTTAATAGTAAATAACATGTCTGGCCTGATAGAACATACCCCCCCACCACCTCCACCCAGTGATCTGGTTTGAGGACCTATAGAAGCCTCTGACATTAACTTGCATACAGGAATAAGGCTTGTCTCATACAGAGTGAACCCAAAGCCCCTGGGGAAAACACCCCCAGCATCACAAGTAGTGAGCAGTGCCCCATTAGGTGTAAGGAACCACAGTCTGGCCCCAGGATAAGAAATGCACAGAGGTGGTGGTGCCCACCTGCTCAGCAGGGTTATGTGGGATCTGAACCCTCGGGCGGGAGCGCCGCCGCGCTTCCCAAGCGGCGCACTATCCAGTGCGCCACCGGGCCGGCCCCAGCTTAAATAATTTAATATGAGTTGGGGAGGAAAAAAAACAACATTCATTCATAGCCAAGAGTCACACACTGGCTCCCCATAGCCGAACTCTATCTAATTGGGGAGGAAAAAAAACAACATTCATTCATAGCCAAGAGTCACACACTGGCTCCCCATAGCTGAACTCTATGCTTAAATAATTTAATATGAGTTGGGGAGGAAAAAAAACAACATTCATTCATAGCCAAGAGTCACACACTGGCTCCCCATAGCCGAACTCTATCTAAAGATGTGTCTTATGAGCATACCCAGTGTTTACAAAATTGGAATTTGAATGCCTCAGGGAACAAGAGCATTTGGATTTGAGTGCTGCCCAACTGTCTTTAGAGTAGCTGTGCCATCCAGGGAGTCTGCTGGCTGATCTCTGGGCTAGGATGGAGAACCTGCTAGAACTTCCTCAGCCTGTTTCGCACTCAAGTGCCTCCCTCATGATTCCTGGGAAGGGTGGCCACACTTTCTGGCTCTCCAAGGACAGCTCCAGTTTATACCTATTGTCCTGGTAAATTAACAATAGTGCCTCCTTTTGCTCTCGAAAGTGTTCCAGCTTAGATGATAAATTATATGGTCATGCTATTTTTAGAGGCTTAATGGCCATGGCACAGAGGTGGTGTTGGCCTCACATCTTCCCTAGGAGAGCTGGGTGTCTGTGGATGGTGAGCTGAGATATTAGCGTGGCATGCAGCAGCCCATGGGAGAGACGTATGGTGTTCATTGTCTGTGCTTAAGGTGTTCTATAGTGATGCCGAAGTTTAAAAAGCAACTGCAATCTTAGGCTGCATGAAGAAAGGATAGCATCTTGAAAAGCGAACTAATTGTCCTGTCTGTGCTGTCCCTGCTCTGATCAGACCGCTCTCTACTATTTTGTTCAGTTCACAACTTCTCACTTAAGGAAGATCGTAGAAAACTGGAGTTGTGGAAAAAGAGAGCCCCAGGCCGACGAGGGCGGGAACAAGTGTTACATGAGAAGAAATGAAAAGAATGCAGTGATTAATCGAGAGAAATGAGGCTTCTGGGAGGGGAGCTGTGGCTCTTCGGGGACGCTGGGCCATAGATTTGGGGCATGAAGAAAGGTTTCCAACACCTGGGCAGCCACCCGAAGATGGAAGAAGCGGCCCCAAGAGGTTCCCAATCAAGAGTTGCTGGAGGCGTCTGTGCGTAATTGTTGGAGAGGGCACTTGACCAGGCTACATTAGAGAGGATGACTTAATTAGATGGCGTGGGACTGCCCTTAACGGCTCTACTTCCCTTCCAACCTTAAGAGTCCATGAAGAAATCTGTGAAAATATTTGCCAAAGCACACAGATAACGCTCCTTGGCACTAATATTTGCATTCATCAATATTTTAACATTGGTTGATCTCTAACAACTTGCAGAGAAGCGCACACAGAATCATCTCATCCTTCCATCTGTTTGCCTTCTGTAAAAGCGCTTAACAATGAATGAAACGTGATCTGATGTTTAAATAGACATTGGTTTTAGGCATTTGCCATGAGGCTGCAATTTCTTGCAGCAAGTGTGTATCACTACTGCACCAGAAATAACAGCCTCACCTTATCTCAGCTATGCAATTGGAAAGCACAGAGAAGTCCCAAATCATGAACTAGGAATGCTGCCACTGTGCCAATTACTACCCACCAAACTATATACTAATACATATAATTGGACACCACACTAAATTTGAGAAGAGGATAAAGAACAAAAGAATAGCTGTGATTTTTTTTTTTTCCTGTAGGATGATTTTTATTTTACCCCACCATCATCAGCGAGTGATTATTTCTAGGCTGTGATAATAAGCACTCCCAAATTTTTCAAATCCAGTTACCTGGTATCAGCTCTCCTGGCAGATTCAGAGTTGCAAGATGCCACTTTGAAGGTACTAACTATTAATAAATTGATCAAGAAGGGGTCATAATCATTTTCTCCGTTAAATATTTTTGGCATCATAAGGAGCCACCTTTGGGACTCTCCATAAAGACTTTTATGTCATAAGTACTTTTACATTGCCCCTCGATGATGATAAATTTTCACTGACTGCTATCATTAAATTCTTGATATGAACAAAATAAAATGACAGGCTTACAGTCAGGGCTCACCTGAGGTATTCAGATGTGCTTCTGCAAATGGGAGCAAGAGAGAGGGGCAGGTGGGTACATCATGCAGTGGGGCATGATGGACTCGCTTTATAACCCACCCATCTGAACAGCCCACGCCGCACAGCAGCAACCTTGGGGCTCCCGCCCAGGGCTCCTACTGCCTGACCCCTGTCTCCCTCAACCTGGAGTCTGGTTTTCACACCTGTTTTGAATAAGCACAGTAGAAACTGATCAATTAAGTGAGTCTTCCATTGACATTAGACAGTGCCCAGCGACTGCCTAGAGTCACACCACCAATCTGTGGGTTTGGGCAAGTCACTTCTTGCTTTGCAGTCCCAGTTCCCTTACTGGTAAATCTGGGGTCACATTACCTGCCAGAGGTGTAAGCCTCAAAGGCGCTCCTGTGTCCATGGGGCCACTTGCGAACGTTAAAGGTTCGTACAAGCCTAAGGTGGCATCTTGGGATCAGCGTACAGTTTCAGATTGCGGTTCTTAAAGTGGGGTCTGCGGGTCCTCCAGGGTTCAGACATCTGCACACCCAACAAACTGCTTCATTCTGGGTGTGAATGCGCTTTTTATAGAGAACGAACAGGGAGTTTTCAGTTTTCAACCGACTCACTGAGAGCTCCACGAAGTAGAAAAGATTAAGCTATTATTCCTTTACCAGCGGCTCCCCATGTGGGGTGTGTGTCCTGCACCCAGCTTTGCAGACTGGAACTTGACCCAGTGTCAACTCTGCTGCCCAGCAACCGCCTGGATCGGAGTCCCGGGGAGGGGGCCACTTGCCTCCCCTACGTATCGGAGGGCGCCACCCGCTTCAATCCCCTGCTGCTCCCTGAGACGCTTCCTGCGCAGCCTGGGACTCCCGGCCCGCCCTTCCTCGGGTACCAGGACAGCCGAGGCCTCCCCTAGGTCCCGGCGCTCTCTCCGCCTCCCGAGCTCAGACCCTCGCGCTGCGCTGCGCTCGTGCAGGAGGAAAACCTCAGACCCGGTGCCTGCACCCCTCCTCGGCCCTACCCGGGTCAGGGCTGGGTCCCAGCGCCCCCGCCCCGTCACGGGCAGCGCCACCCTGTGTCGGCCGGCGGCGCGCTCCGCTCGGCATCGCCCCACTCACCTGGGCCCAGGCACAGCAGCAGGAGCAGCGCCAGCCCGGTCAGCGCCAGCACGGCGGGCCGCGCGGAGGAGGCGGCCATGGCGG